AGGAGATTGCTGCTTTTAAAGCTGAGAAATCAAAAACCCAGTTTTGGCGATTTTACTCATTTTTACTATCCGCACTGAAAGTATTTGAGTTTCAATCGAATTCTGAAGATACCCATCTGTACATTATATACAGGAGTGTCCTATTATAACTATACTACTAATTATACATATTAGAAATAACAAATAACAAATTGACAAATTGTCATTATCTCTATCACACCCCCTCAGTCGAAGGGGCAGCGGAGCGAATACTTAGACTGTTTCTGAAATCATCAAACAAAACGCGCAGAAGACCTTTTGTAAAGATGTCTACAATTTGATAACGATAAGGAACATGATGAACTCGAACCTCTCCTTTTTGAACTTTTTCACGCACAAAATGAATATCCATCTCTATATGTTTAGTGCGTTGATGCTGAACTGGATTCTCTGACAAATAGATCGCACTAACATTATCACAATATACCATTGTAGCTTTTGATATCGTTGAAGACCAAGAAATAAGATTATTCCCTAGAAATATATAGTAACCAAAAGTAGAGCGGCGGGTGTCAGGACAACCACCCCAATCGCCATCCGTGTAAGCCACCAGAGAATGTGCCGATGATTTATATAACTGTAAACCATAATGAATTGTTCCTTTAATGTACCGCAGTATCCGCTTTAAAGCCTTCATCCGCAGTATCCGCTTTAAAGCCTTCATGTGCTGTTCAGTTGGAGCATGCATAAAGAGACAGATTTGCTAGACTGCATAACAAATGTCAAGTCTAGTAAAAGTTAAATACTGTAATGCTCCAGCCAGTTGCCTGTATAACTTAGGATTAGAACACGGTTCACCACTTTGAGCACTTAATTTGCCTGTTGTATCCATAGGTGTGAGACTCGATTTACACTCAGTCATGCCGGCACGATCTAACAGTTCAGCAGCATATTTTTGTTGCGTCAAAAACATACCTGCGTTGTTGCGTTGAACTTTAATGCCGAGAAAATAATTAAGTGGTCCTAAGTCCTTCATTGCAAACTCAGCACTTAATTTAGTAATGATGTCCTTTCTTAAAGCAGCTGATGAAGTTATAAGAATTATATCATCAACGTAAAGTAATATGTATGCCATTGCTACATGTTTATGATAAATGAATAAAGAATGATCACATGTGCTATGAATAAAACCAATTGTTGCCGCAAAATCAGTAAACCTTTAGTACCAAGCGCGAGGGGCTTGCTTCAAGCCATATAAAGACTTCTTTAACAGGCATACATGATCAGGCCGGGAGGAGTCTCGAAATCCCAAAGGCTGATACATATAAACTGTCTCATTGAGATTACCGTGCTGCATTCTTGACGTCAAGTTGATGAATGGACCAATTCTTCGAAACTGCCAGGCTAAGCACCATTCTGATTGTCGCAAGTTTAACAACCGGATTGAAGGTATCCTCATAATCAATTCCTTCCCGCTAAGACCTGCCATCACCTACAAGACGGGCTTTATGCCTCTCAAATGAACCATCAGAATTCTTTTTATGATGAAAAACCCACATTGATCTAATAATATTGACATTTGCTGGACGAGTAACTAAATCCCAAGTCTTATTCTTAATGAGAGCCTCAAATTCATCAAGCATAGCACTTTTCCAATTTGGGTCTTTTAGAGCTGACACAGGATTTGTTTTGTTGGTATAGGGGAAATAGACGAAGAAGTAGCAACATAAGACTGATATTTTTGGTTAGGCTTAAATATTCCTGATTTACTACGGGTTGTCATATTATGAGAAGGTGCAGGAGGAATTTAAAGTAGCTTGGGAGTATTGACAGGTGCATTGGTGTTGTGTCATATTATTGGAAGGTGCAGGGAATGTTGATTGTGAAGTTGGTATAATGGAGCAGGTGATGACACATGTAAGACACATGTAAAGGCTCATCATTGGTAGTTGGAGAAATAGATGAATTATGTAGCCTGTGTATCTGTAGTGGTGTTAAACTACCATCCAGAAAATCATATTTAGAAGTGTTAGCAGCAGGTAATTTGGAAAAAGGATGCTGATTCTCATCAAATTTAACATGTCGACAAATGATGATTTTATTTGAAGACAAATCAAGATACTTATACCCTCTATGATTTGAAGGATATCCTAAAACTACACAAGGTTTAGATCTTGGCTCTAACTTATGAATGGTGGTAGACAGAATTAAAGGGAAACATAAACACCCAAATATTCGTAAATGAGAATACGACGGATATTTAAGGCAGAGCATTTGAGTGGGTGACCTGTAATTCAATAATTTGCTAGGATGCTAGGAAGTATATTAAGAAGATAGGTGCAGTTGATAAAGCATGATGCCAAAAACGTGCAAGTATAGAAGCATGAAGCAAAACAGTTCGAACCATGTTATTGATGGTTTTAATTTTACGTTCAGCTTTACCATTTTGAGAAGAGGAATAGGGACAAGAAAATCGAAAAACTATGCCATTTTGTATACAATAATCATGAAATTTGACATTGTTATATTCGCCACCATTATCACATTGTAAATGCTTAATTGTCTTACCGAATTGGGTTTGAACATATTTAGAGAAAGAAATAAAGATACTAAGCACTTGAGATTTATGTGATATTGGAAATGTCCACAAGAATTTGGTAAAATCATCAAGAAACAAGACATAATATCGATGACCAGCTGAAATTGGAACAGGTGATGACCATAAATCACTATATCAAATGGCATATTTGTAGTTGAACTAGAAGCATGAAACGGCAGTCTTATAGATTTCCCCAATGGACAAGAATTACAAAATGGAAACTTGTCGTTATTACAAGAAATAGAATTATTGTTCCTAAGAGAAACTAGCACATCTTTCCTAGGATGACCTAAACGAGAATGCCATGTTGAAGAAGAAAGAACAGAAAACGCAGACTGAACAGAAGATGGTCCAACGCTATTGAATGCAGAATCAGTAAATGGATATAAATCACCTGTGCTATTGCACCTCAGAAGGTGGCTCCCCGTCAGAAAATCCTTCACAGTAAATCCAAAAGGATCAAATTCAACAGAAACTTTGTTATCAACCGTAAACTTTCGAACAGATACAAGATTTTTAATTAAATGTGGAGTATGTAAAACATTGTTGAGATGCAAAAGGGGTTTAGTATATGGTAATAATGCATGACGCATGACCAAGACCATGAATTGGAATAGTGCTACCATTACCAATAATTATTCCATTATTTCGGCTCAAATTAGAATAAGAAGTGAGATTACCAGAATTTGTAGTCATATGAGAAGTGGCAGCATTGTCCATGAACCAATGTTCCTCAGGCGATTTTAACAACAAAGTATGCATAGCCTGATCAATGTCTGTGGGAGCATAACTGCTAGAGGTAGCAGTATAGAAAGCCTGCGATGGTGCAGAAGACTGTGGCTGCGATGGTGAATGACCCAAAATTCCTTGTTGCCGTGCTGGGACAGGAGGCCTATAATTCCATGAGGGATAAGGACATGGAAGTGCAGCCCACTGCTGCAACTGTGATTGCGGATCATAATAAGAAGGCTGCCATACTCCTAGAAACGGATATTGCCATGGATGAGAAAAACCACCCCCTTGTGGAAATGTTCCACCACCAGAATTATTGCCACATCCTCCAGAATAATTTCCACGACCACGATGCCTATTATTTCCATGTCGTCCTCGATTATTAGGTCTGGCAGAATAAGAAGACTGATTCCATGATTGTTGACTAGATGATAATGTTTCAACAGGAGGAGATTTTGCCATCATAGCCGTAGGAGGAGATGCTGCTGGATGCTGCTGCAGCATCAACTTTAGCTCGCTCAGCTTTAGTAGTTTTTTCAAGAAAAAGCATAGATCGAACCTGTGCAAAGGTGGGACAAGGTACCTTATTCTGGACTACTGTGACAAAACTCTCATAAGAATCCGTTAGCTCAGTCAGTAGTCGCATCACCAATTGTTGATTAGAAACCTTGGCACCAACATTGGCCAGCTGATCAGCAAGTACCTTAAGACGGCGAGTATATGCCTTCGCATCTGGGAAATCGCGCAAACTAGTGTTTGCAAATTCAGTTTCAAGATGAATAGCCCGAGAAGTTTTATTGTCTTGAAATAATTCTGCCGAACTATTCCAGGCATCCAAAGCCGTATCTTGGGGATTAATAATTGTGTTAAGAAGGTCATTAGAGATTGTTCCGTAGATCCATTGACGAACAATACTATCGATTCGATCCCACTGCGCTTGTTCAGCAGCAGTTCTGACGGTGGCAGGAGAGTCACCACTCGAAGGACTTATGTCTTTATGTGATTCATATGTTAAGGGTTGCTTTAGCATGAATGGTGAAAGGGTAGCCCATTAGAATAACTGAGGGTTTTCATAATTCTAGAATTTATTGGATATGAGTTTGATGTTGGTAATTGTCTGTGGCAGGATGAACTGGATGAATCTTCTCGGCCATTATAAAATAAACAAGGAAGAAGAAGAAATAAGAATGGTGAAGAAAGGACGAAGAAATAAGAAAGGAGAAGTTAGGATTTTTACTCTGATACCATGAAAGTATTTGAGTTTCAATCGATTTCTGAAGATACCATCTATACATTATATACAGAAGTGTCCTATTATAACTATACTACTAATTATACATATCAGAAATAACAAATAACAAATTGACAGATTGTCATTATCTCTACCAGGCCAGGAATCCAATCAAATCTTTGAAGAAATGCATCTGGTCCGCTTTCCAATGCATCCAAATCAAATCCGGTTTCCAATGCATTCAAATTAAGTTCGTCGTTGCATGATCTTGGAAGAAATTTTCTACGATAAACTTCAAAACTTCTCTTTGATGATCAAGTTCATCCTCGTGTGATCTTCCTTCTATAACCTTCTTCGCAGACTTGCCGTCATCAAACATCGGGAATAGGCCGCACTTTTTCACCCGCAAGATATTGCCATGAGTGAGAAGAACAGCTTTGAGCTGAGTTGAGGAGCCCCTTAGCCCCTTATCAACTTGAGTGTACAAGATGGGATAAAACGCAACCACACATGATCCCCTTTAATCTCGTAACTTCTATTGAGAACAATGCCAGTATCGGAAATCAACTTCTTGTTTTTGTGCATCAAATAAAATTCAAGGCAGAATTGCATTTGCATGGTTGGATCGTTGTTGGAGATTGCTAGAGAGTCATGGTCATAATTGACTTCAAGAACGGCCCAAAAAGCAAACCCCCTGAAATAGTTCCAGTAGAAATCCCCAGGCACACTTATTCGCACTGAAGAACCCCTGGACTCGAAATCGGACCATACTGGAATTCGATTTCCAGGAACAATAATAGTAAATTCAGCAAAAAAATGAGATGGTACCTGTATCATGAAAAATCATGATTGTGTGTTAGAGAGAGATCCAATACTATGAAAGGCAAGAGTTAGGAGCTTATTAACCTGAAAAAAAAAATAATAAAGGTCTTGAGAGATGGAGAGACCTTACGAATAAGTTGTCTCAGTAGCTCAACTGCTATAGTTGTTGCATTGCCATTACCCAATCTGAAGCAATTAATAAAATTGAAACCCATCATGCACCATCATGCACAATTCATTCAGCTTTGGTACATGTACACTAACTAGTTCAGGGCAGTTCGGTGCTTCTATCCAACATATGCTGCATGGGAGAGGTGGCAACGAGGAAAGACCATTGCAGTCTGCCAAACAAATGACTTCGAGATAATTGGCAATGGTTTCAGGAGGTAACCTGGAAAAGTTGTTTCCGCTCAGATTTAATTTCTTCAAAGAAAAGAGTATAACATTCCCAATTCCGTAGGGATTGACACATCATCCAAATTGCAGTAGCTTAAATCTAGACTTGTTAAATAGGATAAATTTCTAAAAAAACATTTTCTGATATTGTCCCTATCTAATTCTTCCTGCATGGTTCCTCTGATGTTTACAAATGGAAATCCTTCACATCTGTGGAAGGACAGCATTTTAAGCTTCACAAAAGAGCATATGGAGAGTGGTGGATGTGTTATTTTCGTTCCACCTACATCAAGTTCTTCCAAATTTTCCAACTTCTCCAACTTCTCTAGCAATTGATTAAGATGAGAGCAGCCAGAAAAGTAAATAGTTCTCAGATGCTTTAAACCATTACCAAAGTTACAAGGAAGGAGTTGTAGATGTGCACAATTCCTGGCACTCAAAAGAACAAGGCCCGTAAGCTTTTCAATAGATGGAGGTAGTGCTTGTATAGCAGTGTCATCTAGATAAAGCTCTGACAAGCGGTCCATATCACCCTTGATCGCAGGAAATGTCTGAAGCTTTGAGCATCCAGACAGTATGAGGATCTCAAGAGAAGATGTACGAATTTCACTAGGAAAATTTTGAAGATTTGAGCAGTCTTTCAGATTTAATAATTTGAGGGAGGCTTCTAAGAGAACTCAGAGAGGAGTGAACCTCAGTTAATTCTGTGCAGCCTTGAAGAATTATTATCTCAAGGTTTGGCATCCCTGTGAAATCCGGTGTCCTAATGAGTTTCTGGGAATGACTTAGTTTGATGAACTTCAATTTATCAAATTTCTGTCAAAATAAAAATTCAAATCATTTAGCCGTGAATTTAATATCATATAGAATAGATGAGAAAATAAAAATAGTGAGCTAATTAAATATACCTTCCTCTTCTGTCAAAAACTCTGTCATGTTGCTGTATGACTGTTAAGTTCAACAAGTTTTGTGGGATTAAAAATGAGGTGGCAAAGTTTCAATGGGATATCATGCAATAGAGCATCGCAAATCATTCGATAAAGTAAGAAAGTCCCTAGAAAGAGTCACATTTGAGTCTAAAAGGTATTCTTACTTCATTTGTTGCCTTTGGAGAGACTTGATGTTAGCAAAGTGCTGTTTTTTGGGGATAAGGTATTCAAAGCCTCCAGATTTGTGAGCATAGCAAACCTTAAGCAATCTAAGTTTGGTCATCCTCTCGAAGACTTCAGTGTTAATGTGCAAGTTCTCTATTTTAGACAAATCTAGGATTATGCCCACAACTTCCGCCACCTGTAACCAAGAGCACAGACAAGACATATAGATATGCTACAGCTTTAGTGGGGTGGGGGAGAATTGGACATCGTATGATCTACTGTAAAGCAAGTAAAAGAAAAAAAAAAAAAAGTTCAATGCAGTTATTTCTTACTGTATTGTTTGCAAACGAAGTGAGGACATCATTATGATCCCACAATCTGGTCCATTTGCCTGGATCAGTTTCAGGTTGACGAACAATTTCCCATCCCATTTGTTGTACTAAATCATGCATCCAAAGTTTATTATCTAAAATGGAGATGAGAGATTTATCAATGAGAACTCTTAGATTAGCATGTGGGAAGAACCCGCAGCCTTCAAATACTTTGACAACATAATCTTTGTCCTCCCCCTTAAAGAAACATGCAATATCAAGAAACATATCCCTTTGGAAACGATTATCAAGTCTATCAAAACTTATTTTAAGCACATCATTAATTCCTTTTGGAGGACACATTTCAAGTTGGTGCAATTCGTCTAGCCATTCAAGTTCATTCTTGCCAGCTAAGTGGCAACCAAGAACCTCCAGAGCTAAAGGAACATTCTGAGCATACTTGACCACATTGTGTGAGAGCTTGTTGACCACATTGTTGTGAGAGCTTGAAAATTTTGATGAGTTATCAGTTGAATAGCAATTTTTTGGAAGGCATGGTTGATTAAATAGCTGAGAGATTCATTATCATTTTAAAAAACTGTGGCCTCGTATATTGATCCACTCCATGCGCCACAAGCAAATGTTTATCTCTAGGTTGTTATGATAATTCTACTACCAGGGACCGAACCATTTTCACCATTCATGCTCTCGAGCTAAGGCTCTCAACTGTTTTATATCATCCACATCATCAAGAACAATAAGAACACGCATGTATTGGAACCTGTTCTTTATTACATCAAAATTGTCACCTAGAGTTCTTATTTTTTGAATTCCTTCCTTCAGTAGTTTAGAAAGAAGTTGCTCCTGTAAATGTGAAAGACCTAATCCAGGTTTACTTGCAACTTCTGTAACACCTTGAAGAAAGCAACAACATTCAAATTCACCATAGATACGGTCATAAACAGCTTTAGCTATGGTTGTTTTACCGATTCCTCCCATGCCCCATATTCCAACCATGAGAACATTGTCCAACCCCATATGTAATTTCGATTCCATTTCCCTTACACGGAAATCCATTCCAACTAGGCCTTTAGTACTATTGGTGCTTGTATGACTCAGTTTTCCCAAAATACAGATGGCAATTTCATCAATAAGAATCGAAGAATCGCTTCCTCTCTGCCATAGTTGAAAGGGCGAAAAATCAGAAGAGTCGATACAAGAGAAACAACAGAAGAAGACTACAAGCAGCAATTAAAGAAGCTCAAAAGAGGATTATGCAGTTCTAAACAAGCTCAGAAATTAAAGAAGACATAAGCAGAAACCATATAATTTGTTTGTTAGATAATCAAAATCACGAAAATAAAAATCATAAAATGGATTACCTGTTTCGTGCATCCCATCCAGATATGTTGCCAGCCTTTGTAAGAGCTAATGTCCAACGCTCAACCTTCTCAGGAAATTTCAGTTTTGATTTAGCAAATCCTTCTCCAAACACACCGGTTTGCTTGCGCACCTCCGATGGGTCAACGTCGTAAAAAATTGGCAAAACTGCATCTCTGGCCATTGGCAAAAACTTGCTCTCTGGCAATTTGTTTTTGGAATTTTTCCGCACATCATTCTTGGTATCTTTCTTAAGGAATCTGGGATACGTTCAATAATCTTCGCAAGTTCATCAAGCAAAAGTGGAATCAGCATAGTTCTTAGAAAAAAACCAACTAAACACAAAACACTTGAAATTCCTCAATCGGCTTGAAAGGAGTGACGGAGAGATTGTTTCTCCTTTGTCAAGTTTTCACATCATCTTTACAGGTTTTAATTCCTTTTCTGTCCAAAGCCTTGTACCAGATGGCTTTAAAAAGCTATTCCGAACATCCTCACCTCTAAAAACTCAAGAAAACATCATATCTCCCACTCGGGAAGCCGGCAGCCAACATCTGCAGTCGCAAGAAACGGAAAGTTCCAGCTCAGAGCTTTTGAAGAAGATGCTAACAGAATGAGAGGCCATCGCAAGCTGTTGTTGCAGAAATTCACAGCAGTATCAGAAATGAGAGACGCGCTGTTGTTGTTGTAAAAACAAAACTATGAAAACAAAAAAAAATAATAAAAGAAAGAGAAAAATAAAAAAACTATTAGTTTATGGCAATATTGTATTGTCAACTACAAAAAATATAAATTGGAAAAAAAGAAAAACTAAAATATAAAGTTGATGAAGTGCATTGGCCTAAAAGTCCAAACTTTGTAACAAAACACATCATTGTTTGTTAACAAACCAAGGAGAGATTAAAATTAGAAACATGTCCATTAAATTTTTTTATTAAGACGGAACATTGGCCCCCCTTCCCTCAATTCAAGAAAATTGGGTATTTTTCAAGTTGCCAAGTTGAAAGTTTTGATATTTATATATTCAAGCCCTTCTAGTTAAATTAAACGCTACTTTATTATTATCCGATCTAAATGTCAATAATCTAAATTTTTGATGTTTTGGACTTACCCTTTTAAAATTTTCTGTACCTTCCCACTTTGGCTTTCTACAAAGTCTCTACGAAGAACAGATTGAGCAAACCCTTTTTTTTTTAAGCCCACCTTAATTTTTACCCTCTAATATATTATATTTCCTTTGCCCGCACAAGCCAAAAATGAGACGCACTATGATCAAAGCAAACTAAATCCCAATAATTAGTAGTAATAGCTAAAGAAAGGCTAAAACAATATTCCAAAAATCAAAATTAAAAAATAAGGACTGAAAGCAAGGAAAATAATGTATCAACAACATATGGCCAAGTGTTCAAAACCGTTTTTTGGTAAAGCAAGGAAAGTTTGAAAGGGGTAATTTGCTTTTGGGCTGTTTTTCGAAGTCGATGACTATGACTCTGATAATTATCCAAACCATCGGAAAATGCCAATGCGGATTTGAAATTTATTTGTGCATAACAACTATAAGGTGATTCCCTGATACTGGTTTTTTATAATAAAAGTTCCAAGTTCCGAGTCCATCATTTGTGGTTGCATTATATAACCGGTCATATTCATTCAATATGACAAAGGAAGGATGGGTTGTTGGACTAGGCTAAAGGCTGTTTTTGCTCCTTGTTGCGAAGGCTCTTCGAGGGTGAAAAACTGTGGCCTATTTCCCGATGTGTGTTTGGTCTGAATTTAGCGCTGGACACAGTTCCGGAACTGAAATCGAAAATTAAACGGTTCTGGTTTTGATTCCGGTTTTGGTTTCTTCAATGGTTCTTAAAATCGATGGTTCCAGTGGGTTTTTTATTCGATTCTCCGCGATTTTGACCAGAACTGGAACCGTCGTTCCAATTGATTTTGGGAACCCACCGGTTCATCATTCTAAACTAGTGGATAACCGGTTTCGAAGAACTGGTTCGCAGTTTCGGTTCCGATTTCCCCACCGGTTCAAAAACAGATGATTCCTAGTTCCGAAAACCATGGAATTTTGGCCACCGCTTATCTGATGGGTAGAGTTTCCATGCGATATTTTTTTTTATACCCATTCGAATGAAAGTCACATAGAGGCAAATAATTTTCTCGTTAAATTTTTTGGCCTAGAAACGATGCACTACAATAAACATGTGACCATGATTTAGTTAGATGCAATTGCTTTGGAGCAAGTGGATTTTACCTTGTATATGCAGGTTAAAATGGGTTTTGTGTCGTTCCACAAGCCAATCTCTATCCAAAAAAAGAGAAATTCCCTCATACTTTTTTTTTTTTTTTTAACATTGGAATCCTGATCTATTAAATGTGTGTATAATATGAGTTATTATACAGTGAAAATGTGATTTCATGTGGGATGTTAACAACGAAATGGCGAACCAATTAGTAGCAAAAGTAATTGTAGGACCCCAGTGGGTTAAACCAACTGGGCAACAAATGGAAGGATGAAGTTAGTTTTAAACCGGTTGGATTAAAATTTCAATTAGTGGGCCATAAAAATTTAAATATATGTAATTAAAATAAATTATAAATTTAAAATAATTAAAATGTTAAAAAATCATTCTGGATCAATTGGGTTTGTGTAGAGTCGACTGGTTCAACGCACGAGTCAATTGGTTCCAATTCAAGTTCCTCTTCCTTGCAGTAACAGCCAAACGTGGCCAATTTAAGGCCCCAATTCACCTGTTTTTTGGGTTGACCCGCCGAGTCGGATTGGATTTAATAATTATGGGTAAGACCCAACTTTAGAAAAATTAAACTACCAAGAAAATATGTAAAATACAATTTTTTTTTTTTTAAGGAAAAATCAAACTAGAAGTTTCAGTAATTGGAAAACTAATAACACAGATATGGGATAGGATACAAAGATCAAATATATTTCTTTATTTTTTGTATAGAAAGTCTATAATACCAACTTCTATAAAGAATAAAAAAACGCAATAATTAATTTGAAGTAATGATTAAGTTGACAAAGCATAATATTTATACAATAGGCGCTTCGCAATTGATCCACGTTGTGGCTTATTTATAAACCATTGTTCGATCTTTATCGTCTTTCTACAAGTCCGATCTGATTACTTTCAATTTCTTTTTTTCTATTGGAGAGAGAAATCTGCACTTCTTTTTACATAAACTATTTAAAAATAATAAAAACACTGGACAAAATCACTAAATTAATGTGATAACAAATAACTCAGAAACTAATTTGAGAAATATAAATCTCAAAATATGGGCAATAATAAAATCTCAATATTTAGGCGACAATAACTCAGATTTAGAAAACAAATCTGAGAATGTATTTTGGCAAATAAAAAAAAAAAAAAAAAAAAAAAGGAAGGGAGGTGACCATCCGGTAAGGAGCTCAACCGGTGGCCACCTTAACTGTGAAAGAAGAAAAGAAGAGTTTTTAGATTTTAGATTTTTGAAGATAACGAGAGAAGTGAGAGAGCCCACAAAGTCCAACCAATATTTTAAAACTTTGTAAATACAATTTTAAAATTCAAGAGAAGTATCTACAGAGAGAAAGAGGGAGGGACGACAAAAGCCATTGGGTAAATACATACCATGATATTGTGATAAATTGATTACTCCCTGATGTCCATATTCTTCTTTTCTTTTTTGAAAACTCTTATGGTATGTAGAAAACTCGTAACTTGAAACTTTCCCATTCCTCATATTAGTGAAAAGACTAAATTCAAACATATTTGATTGGTTAGAGATTTCTTTCTTTTTCTAAATCAAGGAAATAATTCTAATACAATCCAACCATAAAAAATGCAGTACGCTTGAAAATTTATTTGATGCACTAACTATTAAGGATGTATTCCTGAATACTGATTTTGTATAATCAATAGAATACTAAGCCTATACATTCAACTGAAGAGTAAAGCTGGGAATAAGTATTCTAGTAGAGAGATTACAGCTATGCACAGGTATTGTATAACATATTAATTGCATTTACGTGGGCGGCCACGCGCTCTGTGGGTCGAGTGCACATAGTGTCAAAAAGTAAAATAATTTAAATTATGCGACTGAGGGAGCAATTACTTAAATTTTAAATAAATTTTAATAGTATTATTTATAAATTTAGTTATTATGAATTGTAGATTTACATGCAAATTGTATTTTTTCATAACAAATTTGTGAAGAGAAAGTATTTACCTATACCAAGTGTAACATACTCACCATCTATTAAATCAATTAAACTTAATTTTTTTTAATTGAATGAAAGTATCTATAACTATTCACTAGGTAAAAAAGGATAACTATAATTATTTTTTTAAAAAATCTCTTCATTGATTGGTTTTGGTGTAGGGGTGGACTCAATAGGCAAGTTCTTGTTCACAAAATTTTAGTGTAATTTTATAAAAAAATAAATATTTCTTAAAAGGTTGCTAGGGGTGGACTCATCCTGGAGATTTATGTTAATGCGAGCACGCTTAACCTCTAGAGTTCCTTCCAACTCTCGCAGTTAATTGCACCAAAAAAAGCGCGCCTAAATGATTAGTTTCCTTTTTCGATATATGATTCGATTTCATTCTCTGTGTCTCGCATTCCACTAACCTAGCTAGCTACCATCCCTAGGTATCGCTTTACCGGGTCGGATGTCACATTTTGATTTTTTGGAT